GCTGGCTGGTTTTGGAAAGCATTAAAGTTGCCTGAACACAATACCTTAACACATCCTGGCAAAACCAGTGAGCCGCAGCCTGGTTCTTCCATGCTATGCATTTCTGCATCAGCCTGCCACTCTCTGCTTCTGCTGTTGACATGGAGGGCTGTCCTCATGACCTCTTGCAGAGCAGCTGTTAAGCTACAGTTTGGCAAGGCTTTCAGAGGATCCCTGAGAAACGCAGGTCGTGCGATGTTCTGTCATTAGTCATGCTTTGTGACCACTTGCAGTATTGTTTACGGTTTCTTTAGTATCCTGGAGCAGAAAGCAATAAAAAAACAACCTATCTGCTGTAGGACAATGACTCTTTATGATTAGATTAGTAAGTGGGGGAGGGAGAAGCCCTAACTGTCTTGGGGTTGCTGCCTTGCAGGGCTATTCCCCAGTGCCTTCAGGCCAAGTTGTAAAAGTCCCATGTGATGAGCTTTCATGCAGTTTGTGTGCTCCCCTGCTAAAAAGTCTTTCCCAATATTCAGTGGGCCGTTGCAATCTTTCTTGCATGTCTCACTTATCAGTGGCTATACTTAAGTAAAAGGAGGAAGACATACATTGTCAAAGTACCTGTACATGGCTTTTGCATGTGTGCTCTCCTCCTTGATTCTGCTTGATAGCTCTCCACAGATGACTATCCCAGAAGTTAGCTTCTGGGGCCTGGCTCTCCTTTTGTTTTCTCGGAGAGGTCTCTGTTGTGCCTGTCTGAGACTGTACCTCCCAAACCCAGCAGTGAGAATGATCTCTCTGACCTGCTGCTGCTGGAAGGAACATTTTCCCACACACACACCCCCCTCTTGGCTTCTGTAGGCGTATCCTAGCCTAGTTTTGTTCTCTTTATGTGAGTGTCGCCTAGTGCATATTGTGTTGAACTGGGTGTCGCTGGAGGAGTAAAGATACTGGCCCTAGTTGTCTCAGACTTTGGGAAGCCATAAGCCAACATCTCTCTCCTGCTGTGGACGATATTTCTGTTTGACTCTTTCCTGTCCTTTAATAAGAAATTCTACTCTTCTATGAGACATTACTGATGCTTCTCGGTATCAGCTAAAGTCGTATTTCTGTGAATATGAATTTCTGGAATATACCACACCTCAATTCAATGGGTGACAGGAAGAGTGAGGCAAGGTGTAACTGCATCTGAAACTCTGACTGAACATCCACTCTTTTTGTGTTAATCTCCCTGTGTGGGCAGATAGCAGCTCAAAGCAGGAGTGTAAAACATGTTCTTGCTCAAGAGAGTTTTGCTGCAGTCTTTGTGGAGGCAAGGTTGGGGGCTTGAGATAAAGTGCCATTTTACCACTTAATTAAAGCCCTGCCACCCTGTGTCACTTGCTGTAGCTTATGTAGAGTCTCCATGTAGTGCTTTCTCCTCTGAACTCCACCTGAGTGCTCCCAGTGAGCTAGTGCAGAGGCTTGTCCTCACAAAGGAGCTTGTTGGTCCTTCTACCTGTCTCCAGTCTCCCACCAGACCATCCTATGTCCTAATCTCTTTTCCATGCCAAGTGGGCTGTAGTAAGACTTCATGGTGTTCCAAGTGAGGAACTACACCTGTTTTCTGCTGTGTCGCATAGTCTGGTCCTCTTATTAGCTGTACCGAGAGCTAGTGAAGGTTAAAATGCTCTTGGAGGGGTCTGAGCATGCATTAACCATGAAAGCTGAAATATTTGAAGCTGGTCAGAACCTAATAGGAGACAGGGAGGATGATGACAAAAGCCACTCTATTAAACAAGTAGTTGGAAGTTCCTAGGAAAACTGCTGCCACCGTAATAAATCTAATCCTTTGGGCCTGGGAGGAAATGCCACTGTAGGCAGGACCTCTGCTATGGTCTTAGTACAGCTGTGCTAATGGAGGCAGATGCTTTCTTGGGATCTGGCACAGGAAAGCAAGCGTTGCCCCTTCCACAGATGAGAATAGGCTTTTCCAGCTGCCCTGGCACTAGAAGACTTGCCTCGTTGTCATGATTGACTGAGCCATGGCTGTTTTTACTGGGATGAAGTAGGGACTGAATGTGAATAAGTGTGGTCTGGGCTTGCGTGAAGGAAATGGGAACTATCAGGAAGGATTATGTAGTGGTGCTGGTGTCTGCCTGGCCTTGGCAGGCATGAGAAGACCTTTGTCCTGCTGCAGCTCTCTTCTTATTGTAAAGGTTTGAAATACTGTCGCAGTGGAAATTTGAATGAGAAATTTCCCCTCTATCTTGTATATGGTAACTCCTCTTCCTGCAGGGATGAATCCTTCTCTGACAGCAAGATTTAAGTAGTCTTGATAGATAAAGTACTCTTTCAAAAAGTTGCTGCTGGGCCTCCTTAGGGGCCTTGGCATTTGGTCTATAGGCTGTGCATTTCCCCAGGCTTCCCTGAAGGATGAGGAAACAAGCAAGTTAAGGGGTATAAATGAAACGGGAAGAGCCATGCTTTGCACTCTGGCAGTGGAAACCAGCTGGGTTGTCTTTCTGGGACCATCAGTCTGAAAGCAGGAGCTTCTCATGCGTGAAGAGGGTCAGACTTGGGCTACTCTCCCCAAACCTGGCTGTGGCTTTCATGCTGAGCTGGACTGGGAGGGCATGGATGAGCTTGATGTGACTCCAGTAAGCTAGAAGCTAAGCTGCTCTGAAGACATGCAAACAGAGGGGGCTCCAGGCACTTTCCCTCAGTTCCTCACATATGGTTGACTTTGGCCATGTTCCTTGGAAGTTGCAAATACCTTTCAGAGAGCAAGATCCATGGTAAGCTGGGAAAAGGAAAGAGGTGTGCTAGCATGCTGTGCAATGACCATATATCCTGGCCTGTTCCTTCATTGTAGGCTGAGTTGAAGAAATTAATTTGTTTGGTCCTATGTTGTTGTCTTGCTTTGATGAGAGTAGTCCTGTGTATGGTCCTTCCTGAAAGCTACTGTGCTGCACTAAGCCAACTTGCATGTGTTTGAGGGCAGATGGTGGAGCTGGGAAATGATCTGCTGTATCCTTGGTCTGACACACCTCATGGAGATGCATCTGTGTGAGGATGCAGATGCTTGTATTTACCAGGAACCAGCTGTTTACTGCAAGGGTCTTACCCTCAGCTCTTATAAACAGGTCCTTCTTACTGTCCTGGAGACTGCAATCATCTCCATGGTGAGAGTTGCACAAACAGAAGGGAGGATAATGACCCTGCAGATTAAAGGGCAAAAGGAGGTTTCCTAGTACACGAAGCTTGTGCTGATTGCCCTGGTTCTAGATTCAACATCCCTGGAAAGGTAGGCTGCAAACACAGAAAGGCTCTCTGCAAAAATGGTGGGGTCAGGAGGTGCATTACCCAGCCCTGCAGTGTGGAGAAAAAAGCAGCACCTGTTTGAGGAACTAAGGTGTGGATTTCTTCATGGGCATGCCCTTTGAGCATATTTGAGAGGCAATAAGACCGTCTAATAAAAACTACTGAAATCTGCCTTTAACTGGCTCTACTTACTTGCCTTTGATGTGGTTCAAAGGGAAACAGGGCTGCACTATGTCTTGCTCATTAGCTTGGAAATATAAAGACCAGCAGCATCCGAATGACTGACAAATATGCACAGAGCCTTGTTCTCACTGCCCTTGCCTCAGTCCCAGTGTGCTGGCCTTAAGCTCCCTTTCTTCAGTACCTAAGTACATGTGGCTTATGGCTTACCTGGTGGTGAAGGTGCCTAGAGCACCGCTCCTCCTCTTGCTGTGGACGCTTTTCCTCTCAGCTCCTTGTATTTGCATGATGCCTTTATCCCTTGCTTGGACCTTCTACTTGGAGAAGGCCACCAACCTTTCTTGTATTCCCAGTCTTCAGGCCAGCTGTGTCTCCCTTCTCTGGCTGAACTAGGAGAACTGGGAGGTGATCTTTCCCCTCTGCTCAGCACTGGTGGAGGTCTAACCTGGTGTGCTGTGCCCAGTTCTGGGCTCCTCAGTGCAAGAGAAATATGGACATACTGGAGAGAAGGTCCACAAAGGGCTTGTGTTGGTGGAACTTGTGCTGAGTGCTGTGGTTCCAGATTGAATGTCCCATTACTGCAGTGGCAAAGACTGAATCTGCTAATTCTGTATAACATAAGCGGAGAACTTGCTTAGGGACATCATAATATGGACTAATGCAAAAGAGCATGTAGCTTTTAATGGCAGAGGTGTGAATAAGCTTGTGTGTAGTTTATTGAGGGTGTGAATGAAGGTTGTGCCAAAGCTGCCAACCCTGTTGTTTTTGGAAGGGGGCAGGGCTGCAGAAATGTGACCCTTTCTCCGTAGTCTTGGCAAGATGGAGCAGTGGTGCTGGCAATGAAGCTGAGCACGAGTCAGGCTATCTGCAGATTCCCCTCTGTTAGTGTCCTACCATGCATGCTTTTGCACGTGCTCTCTACAGAGCATGGCAGTGCAAGGAGAGCCGTGGGAATGCTGGAAAGACAACTGTTCCCAACTACCTTGCGGGAGGGTGTGGGGAAACTGGAGCCGGGCTCCTCTTGGAGGTGTGTGGGGTTAAGATGAAGGACAGTAGACAAATGACCATGAGGGAAATTCTGATAGCTGTTAGGAAAAGACTTTGTTGTGAGTGTGGTCAGACACTGGAGCAGAGCCCCATGGAGGTTTTGAGATATACATCCTTGCAAATAATTTAAAGTTCAGCTGCACAAAGCCCTGAGCAGCTGGAGCTGGCCATGCTTGGAGCAGGACATTGGGCAAGAGACCTCCAGAAGTCCCTTCCAATCTAATACTCTTCAATGGTAGGTAGGAGATGCCCAGATGATGTGGTTCAGCTGTAGCATAAATCACAGCCTGGGACTATGCTTGACTCCCTTTTCCTAGGCTGGCATGATAAAGAGACATTAAGGAGGTGCCTGCCTTACTTACCCTTCATGGGAAGGGTGCATCTTTCTGGAGATGTTCACAGGGAGTGAAGATGTGTGCCCATCTGGAGCCATGTGCTGGTTTTTGTAGTATTTGTATTGTGACAGGCTTCCTGTTGCCTTCCTCCAGGTACAGCTACATGATTGACAATGTCATTCTGCTGATCACTGGGACCCTGCACCAGCGTTCGATCTCCGAACTGGTGCCCAAGTGCCATCCTCTAGGAAGTTTCGAGCAGATGGAAGCTGTGAACATTGCTCAGACGCCTGCGGAGCTCTACAATGCAATCCTGGTGGACACTCCCCTGGGTGAGCAGAGCCTTTCAAAATACCGCTCAGCTGTGTGTGGAGCAGATGTCCCTTTCTCCCCCAGTCTAACTAGGTCCAACTAAGTCTAAGTTGTGCTCCAGGAAGACAAAACAGTAAGTAATGCACAGATGTGACTGTACTGCCTGTGATGGCTGGGCTTGAGTTCAGGTTTATGCCTGTCCTATGCTAGTTTTTCCTTTGGAGGACTAGCTAGCTCTCTGTACGCTTCAACAAATGTCCAAACCAGCACACTGGTAGTGCAGATTGCGGGGAATTTGGTTTGAGCTGTGATGGCAGTGCAGGTTTAGCTAGATCTGATCTGCTAAGTATGTCCATTTACCAGCTCTTCTGGAAATGGTCACCTGAAATTACGGAGGAAAGAGAAAGTTGGAGAGGTCTTAGACAATGTGATCTTTTTAATAATTGTCATGGTACATGTGCTTCCTCAGTGAAGGGCTATCGGGTCCTCTGCTGGAATGAGTCACTTAATTTCCAGCACTTTTAGTTGGACCATTGGGCAATTTCTTGTAGGCAGTTTTTGTAGATAATTATCTGCACATGCCCAGTCTTGTTCTGAGACTGATAAAATTAGCTCTAGATCAAGAAAAGCTCTTTACATATCAAAAAACCCCAACCAGCAACAGAAAAAAAAAAAAAAAAAAAGGAAATCTCCAAAAGCCTTTTTAAGCTCATTGTATAGCAGGACCCCGCACTGAGGTATACCATCTCGGGGCTACAAGCCTTGACCAGGACGTGCGTGACACTAAAACCAGGTGTCTGTGAACGGTCAGACAGGTATGTTCTTTAAAGATAAAAGGTGTAGGAAGTGGTTCTAGAGAAAATATGGAAGTCTTTTTGCAGTAGTAGGAGAGAGAGTCACAGGAGACTTTCTAGGTTAGCATCTGTGGGCAAAAAAGTAACGAGGTACGCCTGAGTCAGTGATTAATCATTCTTTTGGGGTTGCTAGAAAGAACAAAACACTTTAAATCATCATATTGTCTTTGATAGAAATAGTTGATTTTGGAACTGAAAATGCTTTTGCAAATGCTCTGTGTAATAGGGGGGCAAGTGAAGTAGTTGTCACGGAAAAATGATTTGCCAGATAGGGCCCAGCAAAGAAAGGAAAACATGTCTCAAGAGATCTGGGTTGCAAGGTAGGGCAGCAGTGCAGCAGGAGAACTGAGGCTCTGCCTGTAGCTGAGTTGAGCCCGCTGTAGGGAAGATGTGTGGGAAGAAAATCCTCCTCACGAGTAAGTGGGAACCTTCCCATTTTGGGAACCAAGCATTTCAGAGATATTAGTTCTCAGAGACCTTAAAACTTCCAGCTGTGTATGGAGTGGAAATGCTACATTGCACTGGCAAGGTGGTTCTGGAGAACACGGCTGGCAGTTGAGAGTCTTTGCCTCTTGCATTTGTGCACTTGGATGTCAGTAAGCTTTGCCTGCTTCTGCTCTGGCTAGGCTGAGATCTTCAGACCTTTGCCCTGGCCATGGCCTTGAGGCTGTGTACCATCTAGTGCGGCATTTCTTCAGAAGGAGAGCATGGGGAGTAGCTGTGTTGCCTAAACAAGCAGGCATGCAGGCTCCAGTTGTTTAACTTGCAGTCTTTCCAGTGACCACACACAAAGAAACAGCAGCTCTATCGCCTAAAAGTACTTGAGTAGCTACGTGGCTTGGTAGGAATGCCTAACCCCAAATGGCTCTCATAGGTTAGCAGGGCAAAATAAGACTTGCTGTTAGCCTAATTTGGGATATTGGAGGGCCAAGAACTGAAATAGCTGTGTTCTCATTCCTCTGCTACTCTGAAGTAGCCACTGCTTAGCTATATAGGCTAGCCAGCGAGTCCTGCAGTGAAAACCAGTCCTGGCACACTCTGTTTTCATTTTTGCCAGCCATAGGGAGTAGTGCTCCTCCAGCTACGTGGCATTGGTATCTGATGCTGTTGCAAAGAAACCTCGAGGGCGGAGTTAACCCCTGTTCAGGACTCTCTAGATCCATGGTGCAGCTGCTGTCCATGCCAGGGAGCTCGTGCTATAGAAGTAGTGCACACCAGAGGTGTGAGCCTGCATCGTACCTGGTTTGTTGCACAAAGCAGAGCACCAGTCAGTTCTCAGTGTGAGTGCAGTGTCCTTTACCCACAGCTGGACTGTGTAAGCTGAGAAAGATCATATTTCTCTTTGCAGCAAATTCAGCAAAATTGATTGCTGAGTGAGAGTTGAAGAAGTCATAAAAGTCCTGTCAATGGGTTTTATTGTGCTCTTGCTAACAAGTGAGTGGCACAACAACCTTACGTTACGCTAGACGTACAAGACTCATCTTTATTTGCAGCTTGCAGTACCCTGTGTTAGGTCTGAAATCTGTGTTCTTTCTGTGGCAGCAACTTCTCAAACTCCCTCTGAGATACTCTGGCAAGGTACGTAAGGCTGAGCTTCCTACCAAAATACTAGTTCATCCTGTCTCCTGTTGTTTACCTCCAGCTGGAGAAATAAAAGGCCTTGGAAGAAGTGGAAAATGGGACTGATAGACCTGACCAGGGGAAACAGCTCCTGACTCCAACCATGGAGTGTCACGGGCTGTAGGAGCTGTGGCATCCCCATGCCTCCTTAATCCAACTAAGATATTGGAGGATGAGAGCGAAACACAGCGTCAGCTTCCTCAGGACTCACTAGCTGCTGTCCCTCAGATGCTTAAGTGCTGCTGCCATGCTGTAGCAGGCAATTTGGAAGCTGTCTTGTCACCTCTGAATGCCTGCATCTGGGAACAGTTTGGGTTTTGCTTGTTTTTAAATACAGGGTGCTCTGGCGCTGATGCTGGGGGCTAGAGCTGAGAATTTCTGCTGAGAATAGGCTGGTGTGAGCGCCCCAAAAATGATTGTGGAGCCTGAGGTTTTGAGTCGTCGGAATTTGGTGGCTCCTGAAGATAAGGGCCAGGCCTAGGAGGGACAAGCTCAGCATAGGGTGTGCTTCTGCCTGGTATTGTTGAGGACTCTGGAAAGTGCTGGGCATGGGTCTCGTTAGGACAATGCTAACTCTGTCTGTGGCTCTGTTTCAGCTGCTTTCTTCCAAGACTGCATATCTGAACAGGACCTGGATGAAATGAACATTGAAATCATTCGAAACACACTGTATAAGGTAAATAAGTCTCTGGGAAGGGAAAGACATGTTAAATTCCCTGTTTATTCCTAGCGTGACTACAGCTCTGTCTTGGGTCAGGAGCTCCAACTTAGGCTGGCTTTCTTCAGCCAAAGGGGAGAGGGTATTTTCCTCTTAGAGCAGATTTAAAAATAAATTTGCTTTCTCTCTGTTTTCTTCCCTGGAGTGGTGATAGAGTGAACATGACCAAGAATTAGTTGCATCTGCTGGAAAGTAAAGATAGTGCTCTTGGAGGGGCCTGACATCCAGTCACCCAGCTCTGCAGAGTCAGGGCACCAGAGGTAGGCAGAGGGACTTCTTTTTTTTTTTTTGAGCTGTCAGGCTGTCAAGAGTTTGTGCAAGAGATTTTTTTAGAGGTCCTGCCTCTGAATAAATTTCCTCAGGCCCCAGGCAGGCAGGAGAAAGCTGCTTCTTAACCACACGAGTTTAGATGTGTAGTTAACTGCATTCAGAGGGCTAAAGTGGCTTGATCTTAAACTTCTCTGAAGGACTTCCATGGGCTTGGCTCTCTGTCTTGAGCTCTTTCAGAAGAGCTTCCAACAGTCTGCTCAAGCCTTCAGTGGCTGTGGTTGGGGTTAGATGCTCTTGGTAGAGCAGTGTAAAAGGTGCAGCTGGGGTGGAGGAGTCCTGCAGGCTGGGGAGAGTGTTGGCACAGGGATGTGGATGGGCTAAGGATCTCCTTGTCCTGAGCCTGCACGGGAGCTGTTGTCTCCTCTGCAGGCCCTATCTGGTTTTAGCTGGCAGTATCAAAGCATGTGTTTATGTGCAGGCTGTGGCTATCGCTCCATCTCAACTCTCTGGATTAAGGGTGGGATGCAGATTGTATCTGCCAACCTTGTTTTGGCTGGTCACAGCCAGCCTGCAGTCAGCATGACCTCTGCTTCCCAAGGAAGTCGTGACCTGTTTGGAGAGGCAGAGAACAGATCAGGCGTGAAGGGAAGATGGCAAAGGGAGGGGAGAAGGAGCTGCGTGTCAGCAGTCATGCCCAGCTGCATGTGGCCTCTGGCATGTACTGGTCTTTTGCTGTAACAGGAGGAGGTATGCCTGTACGCATAAATACCTGCACCCTTGCAGGGTGCAGACCTCTCTGTTGAGATGAGGCAGGTGGGGGAAGGCAGGGAGCAGAGCGAGTGCAGGGCAAACAGGTTGGGGGAGAGTGTGTGTGTGTCTCCTTGGGTCCCAGCTGCCACTTCCTTTCCCATCTCCTTTTTGAGGCCTAATACTTCTTTGCATTCTGCTCTTCCTACCCCCAAATTGAAGCGTTGATGCCTGCTATCCCTTGGCGTGTGCTGGGGGACTGGTTCTTGCTGAAGAGCAGTCCCGGGGAACACAGGGGCTCTGTCACTAACAAATCATGGTGACACAAGGGTGAAATAGGTAACTGCTGCTTACATACTTTCCCTTGAAGCCACCTCTCTCCCCAGGGACTGGAAAATGTATAATACAATGCAAATGGTCTTCATAGGCAAATGAGGGAAATAAAATCAGGTCTGAAATCTGTGCAGAGGTGCTCTGAGGAACAGAGCAGGCGGGTGCCTGGGATGGATGCCTGTGTCCAGGAGGAGTTTGCATGGGAAGGGGAAGTGCTACCTCCCAGACCTACTGGAGGTTTTTTGAAGGAATCTGCGAGCATGTAGACAGAAGGTTTGAGCAGGATTCATAGGAGGAAAGCAATTACAAAGATTTCTCATCAGCAAAGCAATTACAAAGATTTCTCATCAGCAATGACAAGTGACAAGGTTCTTAAATGGAAATATGGTTAAGATGGGGAGCAGAGGTTAAAAGTAAGTGGTCAGCTCTTAGTGTAGAGGGCAGTCAGCAGTGGAGTCCTGCAGCAGAGGCATGCTGGCATTCTTATCTTCAGTGCTTACTCCCATTTTTGCACATCCTTAATGGATATGTTGAAGTGAAGCTGGCTGACTCTTGGCCTTTGCTGGCGACCTTCTTGTAGGAACCAGCTGAAGGACCTTTGTGACTGGACAATAACATATAGCAGGCAAATCATTGTGGATAAATGTGGAGTGGTATATGGGAGAGGCAAGGAGTTAATCCTAACTCTGCTTGTACAGTGAGGGTCTCCTTGTTTCTTTCTACTACTAAATGAAATCCTGGGTTATGATTGACCTAAGTAAGTGTCTCTCTACAAGGCAGTTTGTTCCTAACAGTAGAAAAGAAAAGAACTGCACAAATATCACTGCTGCTGCATACATTTGTAGTGCGTTTGTCCTGAACACTGTCTCATTCCTCTCCTCTCTCATCTGTGAATATGAACAGCAGAACAGAAGTTGCTGAGGAGGACACATGTAAAGGTTTGGGTACAATGACACCCGTATGGGAAACTACAAAACCAGTTGGGATTCCTCACCTTGAAGAGTAGTGAATCAGAGCTGTGGTGGTAAGTGCAGATAGTGTTGGAAAAGTCAACATGGCCAGACAGGCCACATATCTCCCTTCAGGCTGGAGGTGACAGACAAATGAGGCTAGCAGGAGGCAGAGGGTAAATGAGTGTGTTTGTGGAAGTCAGAGTCCATTGGGGATTATTAAATGCAAAGAGACTACCATTTCTGGGGTAAGGGTTTCAGGACGCTGGAGAGTTTCTGTAAATTGCTGTCATCTGCAGAGGGGTCCATAGGGGAGGGTACCCATGTGGCTATTTTACAGGCTGTGTTTCCATGCTGTCTGTGATACTGGATCCTCATTCAGTGCTGGGTATTTGAGTTCAACAATTTTTGCTTCCAAAGCCTTAAGTTTGCGCATAAACTCTGAGAAGGGCAGAGGTGGTGACTGAACCTCTTACCCAGGTTCCCTCTTCTGTCAGCCTTAAGCAAAGATCCGTGTCATTGTACCTGTGGTAGTTCTGCAGACTGATGCTCTGTGCTCTCCTGCACTTGAGCAGTGGCAAGTGCTGGAGGCGACGTTTCTTTGATGTGTGATGCTCACCCAGCAGTGTCCTCTTGCACTGTGTGGTAACAAATACTTACAGAATACAGTAATCCCGGTGCTTTCCTAGTGCAGACGCTGAGGGTGTCCAACACGTGCATTCTTGGTTCATCTTCAGTCCTGGAGTTGTTGTGACAAAGCAGAGATTTGTGATGTCTCAGCATCATTTTATTCCATCCCTTTTAAGTGATTCTGGTTGCAGCTCTCTGTCCAGGGAGGTATTTTATCACATGATGGCTTCTTCTGAGAAAGTTTTTGCTGAACAGCACTTTTAGCCATGCTCTGCCTTCATGGGCTCCCCCTGGGAGATACAGTCATCTTCCAGCTGGATTATGGTACATCTCCACAAAGGATTACGTTTCCTGGAGGCAGCATAGCTGTGCCTAGCCTTATATGTTTTCTGAAGTGCTCCAGTTGGGATGGAGACCAAGCGGCTGCAGTGTGAAAAGAGAATTACAGAGAATGACTAGTTTTCTTCACAGATGTCCTGTCTCATCTCTTGACTCTGCTTACACAGCGGTACTTTCTGAGTGTAGGTCTTGCAGCTATAGTTGTGTGGCTTGGCATGTTTGTGGAGGCCAGAGCGGGGTCAGGAAACCATGTGAGATTTCAGTAAATTCTTTGGAGTTAGACGACTCAAAGGAGCAAAACAGGCTTTAACCTTGATGCCTGGAGATCTTGCCTGCAGTAAGCTCGTGCAGTCACTTGAACAAGTCCAACCACAACCCTTCATTGTCTCCAGCTCCTGGAGAAAGCACTGACCCTCCTGAGGGCTTGGCATCCAAGTTCACGTGGGGTGAGAGTGCCCGTGCGGTGTTAAAAGCATCTGGGAGCATCCCTGCTTGCTGTTTGTTGCCTACTGAATGGCCCTGTGGGGCAGTAGATGAAGCTGTGTAGAGAGCTCATCTGCCCTCTATCTTCCAGGCTTACCTGGAGTCCTTCTACAAGTTCTGCAAGGTGCTGGGAGGTACCACGGCAGATGCCATGTGCCCGATCCTGGAGGTAGGTGTGGAAACCCCCATAGCTGGATGGTATTGCCATGATATTCATTGCTCTGTGCTCAGGCCCAGCTTGCTTGCCAGCATTAAGGATGCTAAAGATGTTCTTCAGCATCCCCATGCACACTCTGCCTGCTCACTGGGAGACCTAGGAAAACACTGCCTGCACATGACTTTGGACTGGTTTGGTTCCCCAGTCCTGATCTTGCCAGGTGCTGACACATCTGTTGCCTTCGTGGCAGTATCTTCATCCTCTCACACGGATAACGAGCTGGAGAACAACCAGAGCTGTTCAGTGCACAGTCCATCTCCATGCCAAGGCTAGCTGTGGGGTATGCAGGGCTCAGGAGCAGTGGGTGAGACAGACTCCTTGACCTGGGCAGGGTTCTGCTCAGTGATTTGGCTCGTGCCTGGGGTGGGAATTTCCTCACCTGACTGCTCCCCAGGCATCAGCTACTGGGCATGCTGGGAGCCTGCACATGTAGCCTGCCCTGGCTGAGCACCAGGTAACTGTACGTGTCCTAGGCGTCTTGCTCATGCTGCCCTCTGATGCGGCTCTGTTCAGAGCAGCGTTGGTATCTGCTGGCCTCTGGTAAAGATGCTGCATCCCAAGGTGAACCGCTCTTTTCCTGCAGTTTGAAGCTGACCGGAGGGCCTTCATTATCACCATTAACTCATTTGGTACTGAGCTGTCCAAGGAGGACCGAGCAAAGCTGTTCCCGCACTGTGGCAAGCTCTATCCTGAGGGCCTGGCTCAGCTGGCCAGAGCAGATGACTACGAACAAGTCAAAAATGTTGCTGACTACTATCCTGTGAGTGCTTTGGGGTGAGGGCTGTGGGGACTGGTGCAAGGACCTGCTCTGGATCAGAGCTTCTCAGGGATCTGGGGGAATCTGTGGATTGACAGCGTGAGGGGGGTGGTGCATGTCTTCTGCTGTTACTGTTGGTTCTGTGCTCTGCTTGGCCAAGATGGAGTTGGCTTGCCTGGGATGCCATTGGCCTGTTAGTTGTGGCTGCCCTAGCAGTGGTGATAGGGAGACCAGGCATGCCCTATGTGCCCTGTCCCAGGGTGTGGGGTCTGCGCTCACCACCAAACCCTTGAGGTACCGGTGTGGCAGCAATGACAGTCTCTCTTGGGCTGGTTGGGGGTGGAAACATGTCTTCAGCAAGAAGTGGTGTGCCACATTTCCAGCCCTAGTGGGTTGCTCTGAGCTCTGGTTCAGTCACAGGGGAGATGATGACCTGGGAGGACATGCTTGGATGTGTCTGGGTTCCTTCAGCTGCTCTTGTGCGTGGCTGGGGGCCTGTTTGGAGTCAGAGAGCTCAGTGTCCCCTTGCTGAAGCAGCCAGGGCATGTGTTTGTGGGCATAGGGGCCTGGCCCAAACACTCTGGTCTGTACACGGAGGGGTCTGTACCTGTTACATCCTCCTTGCAGACTCAGAGTGACAATATGGCTTTGAGCACTGCATATTTCAGAGAAGGGTTAGGATGCCTGGCTGGACAAGCTCACAGATGAAATAAAGGCTTTCTCTGCCTTACAGGGGATTGCCTTCAGCCGGCGTGCGTGCAGTGGAGCCTTGGCAGCATCCCCTTGCCAATGCTCTTGTGTGCACAGGGCAGGCTCTTGGCTTCTGTGTCCTCTGCTGACCTGGCATAGTGGCTGGGGTATCTGTTTGATGTACAGGGCCCAGGAATGCTGCTGAGCTTGGAGGACTTTGGATATATCCTCTTGTAATGTCTTCCTGCAGGAGTACAAGCTGCTGTTTGAAGGGGCTGGCAGCAACCCTGGAGACAAGACCCTTGAAGACAGGTTCTTTGAGCATGAGGTGAGTGAGCCCTGAGACACTTCTCAGCCTGCAGGTCCATAATCCAATACCAGAGGGATATTTCAGATCAGCTATTTGTCTTTCTAAAGCACAGCAGCTGAAGCAGCCTTCTTTAACAGGGAAATCAAGCATGATTGAGGTCCTAAAATATACAGCAGAGAACACTGGGCAAAGTAGATGTATTTTTTTAATGTTCTTAGTGACTACTGAGTGCTAAACTCCCAGCTTTTCTTGAAGTCCTTAGGTATGGCGTTGTTAAAATCCTTGTCACATATGGGATATTAAATATGTTTATAGGGACATGGTATAGTGGTGGAGTTGGCAGCATTAGGTTTACGGTTGGACTCGATGATCTTAAAGGTCTTTTCCAACCTAAATGGTTCTATGTGCATACCCGTGCAAAGCTCAGGGTAGCAGCAAGCTTGTCTGCTGCCCTGTCAGCAGTGCTGTGGATGAACAGAGTTTGCAGGAAGGAAAAGGATGATAGCCCTCTGTTCCCTCTATTGGGGGCCCAGCATGGTGCTCAGTCCATGTTCCCACCCAGACAGATTAGAGCAGTGTGGGAGGCAAGTTTGTGGCTGCTGGTGGATATTTGGTCCATTGATAGCAAGATCAGAGTGTAATTATGTGGGAAAGAAGGATTTTCAAATGTCAGAGCCTGTCCTGAGCCATGTGCTGCAGGTTAGAGCTGCCCTGAGGACCTAGAGAGGTGCAGAGCAGGATACCTGTGCTGAGCCCCCTCCCAGCCTGCTGGGGAAGTCATGGGACCTCCCAACCTGCTCCATGCTCGCCTTGCTCCTCCCATCTGAGGTGGACAAGTGACGTGTCCTCCTCTGGGCTTTCCGCAGGTGAAGCTGAACAAGCTGGCCTTCCTCAACCAATTCCACTTTGGAGTCTTCTATGCCTTTGTGAAGCTGAAGGAACAGGAGTGCCGCAACATTGTGTGGATCGCAGAGTGCATCGCCCAGCGGCACAGGACCAAGATTGACAACTACATTCCCATCTTCTAACCCTGCTCTGCTCCTGCCCGACCCTCCCATGCCTGGAGTCCAGAGGGACACCTGCCTAACTCCCCGAGTTATCCCTTCCCCAGACTCCAGGGATGTCCCATCTGTGGAACTGGCTCAGATGAGGAAACTGTGCAGTTGCTAGTTAAATTATTCACAAGCTGAAGTTTGAGTTGTGTGTGCCGTGAGGGGTCCGGAGGGACCAGTGGCACAGGCTTGGCCCTGTGTAGCAGGAGGGACACCTCCTATTGTCCTAATAGTCCCTATGTTACTGTACTCATCTGCTGTATGCGCTTATGCTCGTAGAGCAAGCAGCAGCCGGGGGGTTGCTGCCTCCAAGGGGTTCCCACCGCCGTAGAGGAAAGCACCAGGTCTGCTGTGGCCAGGGGTCCTCTCCGTCAGTGCTCTGCACACCTCCTAGTCAGTGTTGTTCCTGTGAGATTTAGTTCAAGTGTGATTTGTAGCGTAGCCTGTGCTGCTGTGCAGTCCCTGCATCCCCCTGTAGCTAACCCTGACCTGGGAGAGACTGAGCAGCCCTGGCCTGGCCAGGACTGGGATGGAGCCTGTGGGAACGCGAGGGCAGAGCCAGAGCACTTGTGGAGCATGCTCCTCCCCACTCCAGCAGCATTTGCACTAGTGCAGCCTCACTGTGTCCTCAGAAGCAGCTTTCGTCAGTCTCCCTCCTGCCCTGCAGCTTGAAAGGGCTCCATAAGTTGGCTGAGCTCCTTCCTCCCCCGAAGACCCATGGCTTGGAGTTTACTGTCACAACCATGCAAGAGTTGGGGCTCCTTTTGGCTCTGCGGATGGTGCCGGACCCCTGCACCACCCCAGGGCAGACACCCAGGCTGGCACAGCCTCCTCACCTACACAGGGCGTCTGGGCTGGCACTGCTATGGAGCTGTATGGGTACAGCTGACTGTTGGGCTCCACTTGGTCACCCTGATGAGTGCAGAGGGCAGCTGTTGGCAGAGATGTCCCACACCCTGTCCAGGCCCTGCCCGCCTGTAGTTAGAGGGTGGGAGCCAAGCCCTGGGCATGGCGGGGCAGCCCTGCTCCTTGCTGCTTTGTCCCCCAGCTAGCTCCCACTTGTGCTTGAGGTCTAGGAGCTGCCCCATGGTGGTGTGGTAGCGGAGAAGCCTTGCTGGTGGGAAACACGTGCTTGGTGCTGCTGCTGGGAGGGATTGATGGAGAGCAGCTCTGTCCCAGCTTGTGCTGTGGTTGCCTCTGCGGTGTTTGTTATCCTGTGATCCCCTCCTCTCTACACCAATAAATAGCTGCCTACTGCACTGTGCTCTCTCTGCTTACTTGGGTGCCTGCTCCCATGTCCCCAAGAGGAGCCTGTGTCAGCCATGGGGCCTCTTACCAGGGAATTTGATATTTGTAGTAGTGGAGCCTGCTGTGGCTCCTGCATGACTTGAGGCACTTGCTTCTACCACAGGCAGGTGGGCATTCGCACTCCAGCCCAAGCTGCATGTGCTGTCTGTGGGTGCAGCTGGGTGCTGAGCTAGTGGGTGCCCGGGAGGTGTAGCCCTCACTGCTTGTGCAGCCATATGGGAGTGAGCCATGTGGTTAGGGAGCTGCATGGCACATCCCCTGGCTTTGCTAAGCTTGTCCTCCTGTGCCTGGGCTTCCTGTGTGGGGCTGTCTGTGTGTGGCACTGTCATCCCTTCCATCCTTGCCCTAGCCAGGCCACAGAGTCAGAGCAAAGCAAAAGTCAGCCTTGGAGGTAGGGGTGGAGAGTAGGGGGGGGAGTGGGTGCAAGCTCTTCCTGACAGGCTTGACCCCTTTTCTGGGGCTGTATGTGGCACCTGCTGCCCCATGCAAAGCTCCCGACATGGAAGGAAACTGCCAGAGCCCAGTGGCATATCAAGAACAGATTTATTTAAAAAGTGACAATCATGTAGTTCATCTCATGAAGAGCTCTGCAGCCCGGCCTCAGCCCCTGCGCTCGCCGGGAGCACGTGGAGTGTGTAATGAATGGCAGGGAGGCAGGGGCTGGCACAGCAGCGGCCACAGGATTCCAGGCCTGACCCAGCCAAGAGGTGACACAGGCAAATGCTTGCAGCTCTGACAGCAGTAAGGAAGAAGATGTCATGTAGCTGAGAAACGCCCGAGGTACATCCCAGCCTGTGGTGCAGAGCCACAGTCAGGCAGGGGTGGCCCCTTTGCAGGATGCACAGTTAGAAAAAATACAAAAACAAGGTCTCTAGAAAATGTTGATTCTCGCACAATAGAAAATAGATCTGCCTGATTTTGGAAAGCAATTTGGTTTTTAACGTCTAATGCTGATTGTTCCCCTGCGGTGCAGGAGGGCGATGCCAGCGGCCGTGCATGTGCTTGGGGGCTGGTGTGTCTGGAGATCCTGGGAGAAGGCTCGCTCCTGCCCCATGACCGCGTGTGGGCCAAGGTCAGGCCTTCTTCGCGGCGTCGTGGTGCTCTCGCCGCAGCGCTCGGGGCAGCTTGGGGTTGATGAAGAATCCTTTCAAGAACAAGTCTCGGACAAAATAGGGCAAGTAGCGGTGTATGAAATACATGAGCCCAAGGCCCTGCCCCGGGTAGTAGCGCACGGCTGGGTTGGCAGCCAGGAGCCCGTCTGTGATGCTGTTCACCACTGCGCTGAGGTCCTCCACTGCCACCTTCATGAACTGGATAAACTGGCGGTGGATGTTTTTTCCCCTGTCGCCCGCAAGGCGCCCGGGGGGCACGCTGCCCCCCAGCCGTTGTGTCTGCAGGTTCCAGAAGGCAGGGTCGCACGTTGTCCCTGCAAAGACGCAGCCCCTCTGTGAGCTGCATGGCCCCCCTCCTCCAGCCCCCCTGGCATGGGTGCCAGCAGCTCCCAGTCCCCTCCCAGCCTCCTGGGAAGGTCCTCTGAAACCCTGGCAGAGATCTCCCATGGGGAGGCATGGTGAGAGGACCGTAGTGACTTGTCATAGCCCAGGACTGGACCAGAGGTCTCTCTGCCTGCAGTGGGGATGGTGCTACCATAAATGTGGCTGAGCTGGTTCGGCCAGCCCCAGTGGCAGAGGATCTGCTAGCGGGCTTCATCCTGACCCTGCCTCTCACCAGCTGGAACCCAAAGGCCACAGGATAGCCACCATCTCCAGGGAGGTGGCCGGGGATGTTCAGAAGCTGCATCCTGACCACTGACTGCTCTTGCTATTGCTCCATCACCATCTCTTCTGCCTCTCCAGGGTACCTGCGCTTTGCCTGCTGACCCTTTTACCTGTTTTGTAGTAGCCAGGCAGGACGAGGCTGACTTTGACGCCCCAGGGCTGGAGCTCGCTGCGGAAGGTGTCCATGAGCAGGCTGAGGGCTGCCTTCGAGGTCCCGTAGGCTGCCAGGCAGGGAAAGGGCAAGTCACCTTGCAGGAGAGAAAGGATGAGTAAGCGGGCTCTCAGGCAGCTGCCCATGTGGCCAGGGGCAGGCAGGGATTGGGAGGGCTTGCATAAGGCTGCGCCCCCAGCCACTGCACAAGGAAAGGGTGCCAGCCTCCATGCACCATGGGGATGCTTGACCTGCACTCAAGCTTGGGGTGCCAGGCGTCTAGTGGGC